TACAAATACATGTAATAGTACAGTTAATCGCACGAGTAGCCGTTCTGTTTATCAGTACAAATACATGTAATAGTACAGTTAATCGCACGAGTAGCCGTTCTGTTTTGATTTTGAGTGTAACAGTCACAATTATGGTCAGGCTCTTGGAACATCTGTTACAAGGCGCGATGAGCGACTTATATCACGACACTATGACACAAATGTATGCAAATACTACTCCACACCATTGTTGTTAGTGGAGCGAATATTTGCACGAACATAAATGCTCTATTCATTGCATTATAGTACATGTAACACGTAGGCGAACTAAAACTGTGGCTGTTACTGTGGACTTATTATTGCATTTCGTCGCCTTCATACTTTTAGTATTATTGGTTAATACGATTCAGTGAACGTCCGGTACGATAATAGATTTCCAATACACACACTTCCATTACATAATGCATTGCCCAGTAGTCACAAATTTGAATTCGGATTAAAATCTCGCGATTTATAACTCAGTTTAGTATTACTGTTTCACAAATAGGGTAGCAGCTGAAGAAACACATGGCAATACGAATGGTCGCATGGCCTGACTATTATTCTTATGATATCATTGTAAGAACGAAAAATAATCTCCCAGCTGACGCTTTCAGTTCATGCCACATGAACGTTATCTAGAAGTTTGCATATGCCCTGTTAAATACGATCTCTGGTAACGCACTTAATTAGCACAGGCTGCAATAAATGTGGCAGATCAGTGCAACGAACACACAAGTAATAACCACAGTTTATGTGTTCGTCGTTTATTATTTTTTTCACCTAATATTGTGAGATTTATTTTCTGTAATTTTACTTTTCTACATTTTCCCTGAGAAGATTTATTTCTTCAAAACCTCACCCTCAACAGAGTTTCTAATGGTCCCTTCTAAAATAACTTGCCGTTCCCACTAATCAGATTGAAGGATTCACGATCTCTATTCTCTATAGAAAATAAAAGTAAGAAGTTCCATTTAGAAAATGGGCCGCCATGATGGATGTGATTTTGTAATGAACCACAACATCGTATTACACCGCTGTATCACTGAGTGAGGGAATGCATTTGAACAGTGGTACTACAATTCTATGCCATGTGACTGCCAGGAGAATAAAACACTGGCCCAAAATTTCAACTTTGGTTATCCCGCTATCTATGTTATGCTACAAAGAAATAACAGAACTTGTTGTTATCCAGATAAATTAAATCGTAAAGTTGAATTACGATTGCAGAAATGACAGTTTTGCAAAACACTCGACAATCTGGCAGCGCTGAGATTCGAACCCACGCCATGACTCGTGCTTTGAGCGACTTATACCACGCCACGCTAACCTTAATTGCTTTGTCAAAACGAAGAAATTACATTGAAATATCAGCAATTCATGTTCGTTCTGGTTATTTACTAAGAGTACTCAAGTGATGTTTGTAATGTAACATTGCATTAGCGAAAGTTGACGGGCGGAAGATACATCTGAATATATTCAGTAAAATAACCTATTATTATTAAAGAGAAACTGAATCATACTTTTATTACTAGCAGGTAAACATACACAACTAGAAATTGACGTTTTACTTGTAATATTTATGATGAGATAGAAACAAGTGCTAATACACTATGAACATTTTACGAGATAATGAGAATGAATTGCGATTACATAACATAAATAAGGCATTTTTATCTAAACATTAGGTCACACACCTGAGTTATAAGTATAGTTATAAGTTAATTGCAAGAAATTAATGCCAAACATGAATTGTTCTGAACATTTCTGACGTTGTAGTTACTCGGAGGTTTTAATTGAGCCGTCAGATTAGGTTAGTCCAGCTGTGTTACCATAACATGACAGAGGCAGTTGTGAACACATAATAACGAGGGCGCTATCTTCATTGACCGAATCACACAAAACAAGTGAATTCGAAAATACTAGCCAAAAGATACTGTCAAGTTATAACTCATGTTTTTTTCAAAAAATTCTACTTTGGTTATCCCGCTATAAATTTCGTATACAAACAAATTGCGCCCTACATTTGTCCTATGATTTTATGAAATAAACGAGATTAAGATGATAATGTTAGTGATAAGGGAATCAAACCCACAGCAGCTGCAATATATTATGACTCTTGGTTAAGAATACATTAAAGATGTACCTATAGTAAAGTGTACGGTCTAATTCACAGGCAGGAGAAACAAAGAGCTGAGAGAAACTTGAGTCGTCCACGGGCGTTCTAACTATTAAATATAACAATTTATAACAATTGTTCATTTATACATAACACTATTGTTTTGTTTATTGTCCGGAAAAAATAGAAAGATGTCTAATAAGACGTAATATAAATACTGATTTTAGAAATATTTCCATATGAATCAGTGTGACTAAAGCAT